GAGGGGAGGGGAGGGGAGAGAAGGGGAGAGAGGAGAGAGAAAGAGTGGGTGTTGGGTTGATGGCTGTAGTAAATAAGGGTCATGTGCAGAGGTCATTAGTTTTGGATACATTGAAATAAAAGTCCTTTACAACATACTACATAAGAGATAGTAAGTGTGCAACTGAATCTAGGGATCAGAGTGCAGGAGAGATCTGAGTTAAAAATACATGTCTTGGAGTTGCCAATATTCAGATGATAAAGCCACAGGTGTGTCTCAAATAATATAGATGATGCACTAGTTCTAAAAGCGTGGTCTCTGGGGCAATCTCAACAATACTTGGAAACTTCACAGAAATGCAAATTCTCAGGTTCCACTCTGAACCTCTGGATCAGAAATTGGAAAACCTGAGACTGGGCTTGCAATCTGTGTCTTTTTTTTTTTTTTTTTTTTGTCTTTTTGAGACAGGGTCTCCCTGTAGCCCCAGCTGGCCTGGAACTCACTATGTAGACCAGGCTGGCCTTGAACTCACAGAGATCTGCCTGCCTCTGCCTCCCAAGTGCCGGGATTAAAGGCATAAGCCACCACGCAGGATCTTCCAGTAGCCCCAGCTGGCCTCAAACTGTCAGAGATCTGCCTGCCTCTGCCTCCCAAGTACTGGAATTAAAGATGTGTGTCTCCGTGCCCAGCATGCCATCTGTGTCTTCACAAGCCCTCCAGGGATTGATTCTGATGCAGACTACAACCCACAGACAGTGACAAGAGGACTTGGGGCCTTGCCTTAAAAAGTCCAACATTTACTACAAAAGGATGAATCTGAAAAAATGTCTATGAGGGACAAAACAAAACGCAATGAGGAGAATTCTTCAGAAGTTATTCGGGGCGGGAAACAATACTGAGATTCAATGGCAATAGCTCCAGAAGGTACTGAATGGGCTGGGATGGAGAAACAGAAAATACAGTCATGAACAGTTTGAGCAAAGGAGAGGATGGAGAGGGAAGTGGCCGATGGGCAAAGGAAGATTGTCTTTTGAGACAGGGTCTCCCTGTAGCCCCAGCTGTCCTGGAACCACTATGTAGACTGCCCTTTAATGGGACAGTGATGTGTGAGATGAATGGGGAAGAAAGGTTGAGAGGCAAGGCCTGCAGTGACACAAAGAAGGGGCAGCACGGCCATCTGCCCAGCAGGAGGCTGTTTATACCGACAATGTTTAGAATTGCTGCACAAAGAGGTAAGAAAAAGCCAACTTTTTGTCAGTATCATTATTGCTCTTCACATTTTCTACTGTACCTCTCACTATCTGCACCCACAATGCACCACTTTTAGTGTCCTGATCTTGGTGCCACTGAAGAGACAGTACCAAGTTTCTGAAAATGGTGAAGTGTTTGGGATGCAAAGCAGAGGCAGAAGAACTGCCTTTGGTTAGTGGGACAATTAACCTTTATAACCAAAATGAAAGGGGTAACAACTGCAAATAGATGTCTCATTTGTCAAATCCATACTCACTAAGCAACCGTCTATTTATTATTTGGTTCCCTATATAGATCTGCCCATGGAGCAAAAATATGCTGATAATGCAGACTTCTCCTAGTAAGTTCATAAACTGGTTTTGGAGCATGATTTGGGGGATCCCGTCTCTGCCTCCTGAGCACTAGATTTATAGGCAGGCAACTGTGCCTACCTGGCTTTTTATGTGGGTGCCGGGACTCTGAACTCCAGTCCTCAAGCTTGCATAACAAGCACTTCATCCACTGAGCCATCACCCCAGCCTTTCTTTTTCTTGCTATATTTCTGGGTCTCTCCCTTCTCCCACAGCCCCACTTAGCAAAGGCTGTGTTTTCATCAGCTGCCATTGCCCAACTTCTACCTTTCCTCTCTCATTTCATTTGTGTTCATTAAGACATTTCAAAATGCATTAGCTTTTGTGAGGAGGTACAGTTGGACTCCTGTATGTGTGGATTTTACATCCATAGGTTTAACCACTTAGACTGAAAATATTTTGAGGGGAAGAAACTGTCTACATAGAACATGTATCACTTTTTTTCTTGTCATCATTCTCTAAGCAATAGAGTATAGCAACTATTTAAGTAGCATTTTACATCACGTTTAATATTAGAAGTAATCATCTAGAGATGACTTAAAGTAGTATGGCAAGATATGTATAGATTATAGGCAAATACTACGTTATTTTGAGGGGAAGAAACTGTCTACATAGAACATGTATCACTTTTTTTCTTGTCATCATTCTCTAAGCAATAGAGTATAGCAGCTATTTAAGTAGGATTTTACATCACATTTAATATTAGAAGTAATCTAGAGATGACTTAAAGTATATGGCAAGATGTGTATAGATTATAGGCAAATACTATGTCATTTTATATAAGCAACTTAAGCATATGCAGATTTTGACATCTAAAAGGGATCCTAGAACTAGTCCTCTGCAGATACTGAGGAACAATTGTATTTCCAAGAACTGTGTAAGAAATGTTTGTTTAGTCCATTATTCATTCAATAAATATTTAAAGATTATAACCTTCTGCAAGGTTTAATATGAGAATCATGAGAGACACAAAGATTTCATGGTATTTATAACTAGTAATAAAAGCAATTAACTCTACTTTAATTGCAAGAGTAAATTAGAAATAAAGAAAATATGATTTCTAAGAGTGATTAAAGCAGCCGGGCATGGTGGTGCACGACTTTAATCCCAGCACTCAGGAGACAGAGGCAAGCAAGATTGAGGCCAGTCTGGTCTACATAGTGAGTTCCAGGCCAACTGAGGCTACAGGGAGACCCTGTCTCAAAAAATAAATAAATAAAATAACAACAAAGAATGATTAAAGCAGCATCTGGCTATCAATGGAAATCCTGGGGTCAGAGCAACTTCAAAATATTGACACTGGACCACCAAGATGGTTCAGTCAGTAAAGACTCTTGCTGCCAAGACTGAAGACCTGAGTTTGATTCTCACAAGTTGTTCTCTGGCCTCCATGTGCATGCACCCTCCACCCTCCATCTATGTGTGTGTGTGTGTGTGTGTGTGTGTGTGTGTTTTAAATCACTTAGGCTTGCTTGGAGACAAAGTATAGCAATCCCTTTGGAATTGAGCACAAAAGGGACTCTGGACTTTCAGACATTTAAAGAACTTGCCAGTTTTTTCAGAGGAACAGTAAGCCAGGCTTTGAACTGATTCTTAAATTTTGGGGAGTTCTGCCTCCAAACATTCTAGTCCTTGGCATGCCTTGTAATAGGAGAGCCCTCACTCCCTGCCTTGCTCTCCTTGCTGCTCTGCATCACCGTTTGCACTCTGGCATAAATAAGATGCAGTTTTTCCACGGCCTATAATTTTCTGTCACTGAATCATTTCAGTCAGTTTTTCACTCACCACCACCCAATCCCTATGCAAATAATGTGATGACCTTGGGCGTCCTAAAAGGGCCTACCACGCAACAGATGCTCAACGGAGATTCATCTCCTCCTTTCTTCCCCCTGTTTTTCTCTTCCCTTATGAAAAAGAAAGGAGGGGACAGAAACAATCAAAAGACAAATGTCCTGTAAGACAGCATTTCTTTGGTGTAAAAATATGGAAAAGCTGAAACCATTTCTCATTCCCTACCTTGTGTCTGTGGGCTGTAAGGAGACAGGAGTTTGGACCTTTTCTTTTCATATCCCTTCTGTGTGATGTCCCCTAAAATAAGAAGAAATAGAAATAAGTTATGCATTATTCTTATTTGGTAGTTGCTCATTGTAAAAATAAAATTAATTACAGAGTGTTAGAGAAGTACCACACATAGTGGATTTAAAAATGTATGGTCCTTTGACAAGATTTTGCTAAGTGTGACTTCCCACAGGCTTGGAATTGATTACTTGTAGAAAATTACAGGCTTGTCCCTACAGTAGTCTTGCATAGCAGTTGGTTATACATAGTGGCAGAGATTCCCAATTCCCTAGCAGCTTTCAGTTCCTTGATATTTAAGATATTCCAAAATGGAATGACACACAGGCACCTTATATTTGAAAGCGGTATTTACAAGGTTCTTCTGCATCCTAACATCTGGAATGGAACCCGGGGATGGAATTCCCACATACCCGCTCCTTGGTTAACTGATTTGTATTATTTATACACATTGTTATGAGGTACACATTTTCTATGAGGTTAAATAAAAGTACATATGAAGTGCGTACATGCATAGCTGCAAGAAAGAGAAAGATAAACTGATAAATGGAAAAATCGCCAGGTACTAAAGAAAGAGGAGCAGATGGATGGGTAGTGAGCAGGGCTGAATCAAGGAGGGAATGGGGCAGGTCCAAAGGGCAGTCAACAAGTGTATCAGAGCAGGGGACAAATACAGATGATGGGATATATGTGAGATGACAGTGCTGTTTCCAAATAGTAATGTTTAATCACAGAAAGTCTGGTTTAAAGTTAAGCCTTGCACAGCACCCATTATACAAAAACAGAAAAATTAAAATAGCATGAAATATAATTTGAGTATTCAATTTCTCAGTAGTTTTTTGTTTGTTTGTTGTTGTTGTTGTTTTGTCTTTTTGAGACAGGGTCTCCCTGTAGCCCCAGCTGTCCTGGAACTCACTATGTAGACCAGGCTGGCCTTGAGCTCACAGAGATCTGCCTGCCTCTGCCTCCTGAGTGCTGGGATTAAAGGCATGTGCCACCACGCCCAGCAATTTCTCAGTAGTTTTAAAAAGATTTATATGTGTGTGTATGTATGTACACACATAAACCAGAAGAGGGTGTTGGATCCTGAAGGCTGCAGGATCTTGGGTGCTGGGATCTGCGTTCCAGTCCTCATTATTACACAGCAATCACTTTTTTTTTGGTCTGTTTGAGACAGGGTCTCCCTGTAGCCTCAGCTGGCCTTGAACTCACTATGTAGACGAGGTTGGCCTTGAACTCACAGGGATCCCCCTGCCTCTGCCTTAACAGAGTGCTGGGATTAAAGGCTTGTGCCACCAAGCACTCTCAGCACTCACAGCAAGCACTCTCAACTACTGAATCCTCTCTTCACACAAGGTTTTGTCTTTAATTTTTAGGACAGAGGCTCACTATGTATCCTAGACTGGCCTCAAATTTACAATCTTCCTGCCTTAGCCTTCTGAGTGCTGGGATTACAGCTGTGTATCACCACACCTGGCTCTAAGCATTCAAATTTTTAACATTTACTGTTTGATAGGAGAGAATCTGATGACAGAAATCCAGGATGATGCAGGTGAGGTGTTGCTAGCCTCGAAATAGGATACTAGGGTGGATGTAGAAGGGCAGGAAGCTCACTGAAGGGGGAAAGCAGGAGCACCATTCACAGACCTGCCCTGTAGTAAGTTCCTTCTTCCTTCGACAGTGGACTTAGGGTAACAGACCAAAGCTAGAGGCCAGAAAGACTAGATGTTTTTAAAAATAAAAGAATGCCCCATTCTTTGTAGTGGAAAACCTGGAAGCAAGCTGATTGCTTATCAGTGACTTTCAGTTAGTAGCAATTCTGCCCTCAAATGGGGGTCGGGGTATCTGGTAATGTCTAGAAACATTTTTGTCACAAATGGAGAAAGAGCGATGGTAGGCACTTAGGGAACAGAATTATGTATACTCTGTAATCAACAGGACAGCCCCACAATAAAAGAGCTAGCTACCCAAAATACCAATAGCACTGAGGATGAAAAGTCCTGATCTCTTAGACACAGGTATTCCAAAAATATCTTATGTGTAAAAGGCAAGCTGCAGGTATACATGATCTAGTTTTATAAAATACAGAAATAGGTATGTTTACATATACACACATACATTTATATACATATACATAATACAGACTCAGTTGCTTAGCCTTATAGAGTGAGATTATAGCAAAGATTTACTTTGTTTTATATTCTGACCAACTTTGATTTTATTTTTTTTGGTCTTTTTGAGACAGGGACTCCCAGGCTGGCCTTGAACTCACAGAGATCCACCTGACTCTGCCTCCAGAGTGCCGGGACTAAAGGTGTGCATCACCATGCCCAGCACCAGCTTTGATTTTTAACAAAACAAGTCTGATTTACACTATCTAAAAATCTTTTTCATAATCCAAATAGGATGGTGCAGGCCTGTAATCTGAACACTTAGGAGGCAGAAGGAGGAGGATCACTGCACTGAGCCAGCCTGGCCTACATGGTGAGCTCTAAGCCAGTCAGGGCTATATAGTGAATCTATTATTTTTTTCCATTAACAAAGAAAGAGAGAGGCTGAAAAGATGGTTCAGCAGTTAAGAACATGTACAGCTCTTGCAGAGAACCAGGGTTTGGTTCCCAGCACCCATGTGCCTGTAACTCCAGTTCCAGGGGGATCTGACACCTCTGGCCTATGCATTTGTATACACTCACACACACACACACACACACACACACACACACACACACACACACTTTAAAATAATAAAAATAAATCTTGAATTTTTAAAAAAAAAATGAGAGCCAGTGTAATGGCACAATGGGTAAAGGTGCTAGATGACCTGAGTTTGATCCCTAGAACCCACTTGGTGAAAAGAGAGAACTGACTCCTCAAGTTGTCCTTTAACTTACACACACACACACACACACACACACACACACACACACACA